ATGATTTACATTGAAATTATTGGGGGGCTTATTAGGAAAATTTCGCCTATTCTTAACCTATTTACATAACAACAACAAAAAAAACAAACTGAATAAACAGGTTTATCAACTGAAAGGCAAACGTTTTACTTGTTAGCTGTCAAGGTCTTATGTCTACTTATGTTAATAGATGAAAAAAATAAAAAACTATTTTCTATAAACCATTTAATTTATAAAAACAACCTTAAACATGACAACCATTTTCAAAAAAAAATTAAAATTTTTTTCAATTTATTACCATACAACGAGATTTGATGATACTTTTTTTATTATTAAATTAAATCTAATTTAATTATTTAATCCACGCCTTCGATGATTTAAAAATAATAATAATAATAATACACATGTTTTTGTAACACGATTACTACGTTTTTTTTTTAAATTTACAAAAAAAAAAAAAAATTTTCTGTTTTTGATAAGAAAAAAATTTTTGATGTAATTGATAATAAAAAATCTGTCATGACGATTAAAAATCTCGGAATTTTAGGTCAAAGGTAATAATGTTATCATTATAAATAATAATGTGCGTAAGTAATTAATATAATTTCATCATTTTATCGCGATCATAAATTTATCTTTTAAAAAAAAAGAGAAAAAATCAAATTTTTCCTTATTTAAATATTATAATTTTAATATTAAAAATTAATTTTATATTTAAATAATATTCAGAATGCGCAAAAACAAATGAAAATTGAATTTACTAAAAATAATTTAATAATAAATAAATTAATTAATTATCATTTTTTAAATTTTTTTATATTTTTTATTAATTCTACCGGAAGTTTTCTTTTTTTTTTTTTTTTCTATCGTGCTTTTATCTAATTTTTTTTGTTTTGTTTTGTTAGTTGAGAGGAAATAACAAAATAATATCAATGGAAATCAAATAAAAAAAAAAAAAAAAAAAAAAAAAAAAAAAGTATGTCTCCCAACGTCGATTATCAATGATTTTAAAATTTTCATTAAAAAATAATAATTTAATATATATAATAAAAATATTTGACAATGATAATGTGTATACAAAAAATAAATAAATAAATAAATAAAAAATTGTTTTTTTTTTTTTTGATTGTTATTGCACTTTGTAAATTTGTACTTTAAAACTTTTGGAATTTTTTCGGGAAATTTAAAATTCCTCCAAAAATTTTTAAAATTAATAATAAGCTTTAATAATAATAATAATAATAATAATAATAATAATTACTTACTGAATTTTTAAATGAAAGAAAATTCAAATTCCAAAAAGTAATAATCATATTTTGTCAAAATTTCTGACAAAATTTTTCTCTGTTATTAAAATTCAACTGAATTCTTTTTTAAGAAATTTAGCGATTGTATTTAATTGAATATTACTCGTTCCTTCGTAAATGGTACCGATTTTACAATCCCTGTAAAATTTTTCCTGAGGGAAATCTTTTGTGAATCCCACACCTCCGATCCAATCGATGCATCTTTTTGTTACTTCGTGAGCCATTTCTTAAAACATTTAATTTTAATAATTAATTATTTTCCTTTTACAAATGGAGATTTTTTATTCTAAAATTTAAAAAAAAAAAAAAAAAAAAAAAGAAGTCTTGATGATTTTTATTATTGTTTCATTTACCCGTTACGTAAAATTTTGCCATAGACGCTTCTTTAGCAAAACTTATACCGGCTTCGACTCGTCTACTAGCATTGTACACGAGTAACCTTGAACATTCCAATTTGACAGCAATATCAGCTATCTGATGTTGCATCGCCTAAAACGCAAATATAATTTATTATGTATTATTATTATTATTATTAAATGTTTTCAACGCAAAACAATGTGATCGCAGTACTTGAAAATCGAAAATTTTATGTCCGAATTGTTTTCTTTCCAACGTGTAAGGTATGGTGACGTCAAAACAACCCTGAGCCAATCCGAGCATTTGAGCAGCAACTCCTATTCTACTTTCATTTAAAAAACCTGCAGCATATTTATAACCTTGATATAATTCTCCTAAAACCGCACTTTTGTGAATCTAATCAAAAGAAATATAAAATATATAATGCTCTTATATTATGTAAGAGTAATTTAAAAGCAGTTTTAATTAAAAAGTCGACAAAAAAAAAATTTACCTTTACGTTATCGAAATTCACTTGACACGTTCCACTGGCTCTTATTCCCAATTTATTTTCTTTTTTTCCAACAGATAAACCAGGAGCATCTCTTTCGACTAAAAATGTTGTGATCCCCCTGTAACCCTTGGATGAATCAGCATTTGCAAAAACAATAAAAAATTTTGCAATATCTGAATTTGATATCCACATTTTTGATCCATTTAAAATAAAATAATCTCCTTCTTGTTTCGCTGAAGTTTTCATTGCAAAAGCATCACTTCCAGAATAAGGTTCAGTCAAACAAAAACTTCCAACCTGAAAAAAAAAACAAAATAATATTAAAAATTTACCGCTTTATTGGTTTTTTTTTTAAAAGTAAACCTAAAAACTCACTCCTTCGTTAATGAGCAAAGGTAAATATTTTTCTTTTTG